ATATTATAGTGAATTTGTGTATGTTTACCATATAGCATGTACATAATGGTTCAAAATAGTTTTATTTTGACAAATGACCATCAAACGTCTCCCTTCATTATACTATAATTATTACCAGTTGGTCACATTCTCTCTTGTTCCAGGATGCCTATCCTCAGTTTAGCTCCAGCCATTGATGTACTAACCACTGGCTCTTACCCTCGACTCCCTACCTGTATCAAGAACAGGATCATACCCCGCCCACCACTCACCCCAGAGGAGAGAGCAATGACCTTCATACTGATAGAGGGAGTCATCAGGTATAGACTAGCCAGGGAACACTTACCATCAGCCATCATGAAAGTGAAGAGCATTGGTAAGGAATAACAGTGGCCATCAGTAATGTAATACCTGAGTCCCTTGATATCTGCCCTCAGCTTCACCTCAAGCAGATATCTCAGTCCTCAGGTATTACATTACTTATATACACACACCTCCAGACAGGCTGGACTACGTGTAAATGTATTAATTATTGACCACACCCACAGGAAATGGGCGTGTCATCCTAACTGTTCCTTATGAGTTTGAAGTGACCCTGACACTAGTAGGGGACGACCTATCTCTTCCCTGGAGGGTCCTTGATTTAAAGATATTAGTTGGCCATGCCCTCTCCGGTATGTTGCCATGACAATGTACCTCATGCTCATTGTTGTCATGGTGACGATTAGGTTCCCCTGTCCTAGTGACGGAGCAGCAGCGGCTCTACCTCCTCCAGTTGGTTCAGTCCAGACTCTGTTCAGTTGATGGTAATCTCAATGACATGTTCAATACACTCCATCACTTCTGTCTCTCTCTGCAGCTGGACTGCCTCCACGCTGAGGTTAGTTTATTATTTATTAATAGTAGTTATGTACAGGTATAGCAGGACTTGGTATAACAATAAATTTGTTTGCATTAAAAAGAAGTTTTAATGAATAGCAAATGAATCGGTTTTTCAATACATGTACATTGAGAGGGTTTTATGAAAGGGTGGGCCAGTGTGTCCGGTCCCTTGTATTATTGTCCATTGTTGATTCATTAGGTGGAGAGACTGAGTGTTGCTGTGTGTGGAGTGTATATGAAGGTGGAGGACTATGTACCAGGTCACCTCATTAGACTGGTCTACTGGAGACACACTGGACCAGCTTATCTACTGAATAATACCAGCTGTAAGTACCATTAATAACTGATGATTGACTATTAATAACTGGTAGTTTACCATACTTACTGTATAGCTGGTAAAGTTTTGGAGGATGGGATTTTAGAAGTTGCTGTTTCTCAATTATGTCCATTCAAAA